AAAAAAAAAAAAAACACACACACACACAAAAATGGAAAATTAGAAAACTCCGAAACCACATACTGTTTTCACACCTTGCAACTCTCCCTTACCCCATGCCGCCTCTGTTTATTTACTGGTATAAACGATGGAAAATCTAACATTTTAGGTATTCAAACTACTTATGAGGGTATTTTCTTTTCTTACACTGTTTAAAGAAAAACAAAATTCCTTGTAGGGCAGCCTTCATTTCTTGGTATCTTGGCAATGTTGCACAGCTACTTGCATGCTAAGATGAAAGAGGTCTTCTGGGAGGAATTATTTGAGGGCTGTTTTTATTTGTCAAGCAAACTCAATCCCTAGAGCTAAAGAATGGACTGCGAGTAAAATAGGCTTACAGAAAGAATTCCGATAAAGGATCAGACAAGTTGACAAAGTATCCAAAATGAAGATATATGGCCATGTGGCTAAAACTATGGGGTGGGACACACTCAGACTAGGAGTCCTGCAACTAACTACTGAACTCTTTGCCTTGAAGGAGTGTGTTCAGGTTAAATCTTCGGAGATGCTGGCTGTCACAGAAAGTTCTTGTGGATGACAAACAACAGCAAAACCCTCCAAACAACAAGGACCACAACAAAACCAGCCCCCCCCCCCCCCAAACAGGACAATCCAAAAGGCAATAGGAGCAGCTTTCTTCAGAGGAGGAGGCAACCCTCCTAGAGCCTGGACACAACGTGTTTCCTAGTGCAAAGTCATCCAAGCTTGAGGTGTATTAAGTACATCATTTTCTCACTTTCTTCACAGTGAAAGAGCAATACATGCAGCAAATGTAGACACCTCTTGTCTTCCTTCATTTGCACAGTTCTGGCCCCCTTTTAATTTCCATTGTCAGTCAGTACCCTTATGGTTATAGTTATGGCAAGGAGCATCAGAATGGATGGCTCCTTTACCCTACTCTGAACCCAAGCAGGGCCAGTCAGAGGCTCCGCTGTAAGATCAGGCCCTTTACATCTCAGAGCAGAGAATTTAGAACGCTTTTGTAAACAAACATTTCGCTGATTATATAAACTAAACAGTTTTCAAGTTAAATTATGTATATCAGGTAAAAATTTTTCTTGATCATAACCTACTTCAAGTCTTTGCAAATAAGTGTTTCTCTAAAATCACATTAAGAACAGAACGGGGTTCTATTTGCTGTTCAGTTGTGTGTGTTACTGTAAATTACTTTAGGATTACAAACGATCTCGACTATCCCTGCTAGTATTGTCCTGGCACTTAATGTACAGTATGACGTGTTTTAAAATAACCCTATGCTTTTTCTTGTTTATAAGTGCAGTTTCGGAGAAATTGTTACTTTCCTGAGTCCTCACATCTAAACAAATGGCAGAGTTGGGATCTGAGCCTGTATTTATGACTATAGACCAAAACACTATATTGTCTCTGAGTATGGTCCGTAGATACAAAAGCAATGTATCCAAATGCTAAACTCACTTCTCCGAATCCCCCCAGTCTAATATTCTCATAGTTTGAAACACTACTGTTTACCAAGGTGTTAAGCTGAAAACTTTGGAATAAGCTTGGGTTTCTTATATTTTTGGTTGTGAGCTTAGCCTTTAATGGCTGAGCCATCTCTCCAGCCCAAGCTTAGGTTTCTTTCTCTCCCTTTCTTCCCACCTCCATTTGCATCTCTCTGTGTGTTTCTCTGCACAATATTTTTAAAAATCTATATTGTTCTTCTGTGGTTTAGAGTGACTCCACATCGTGTTATTGCTATACAACTTTAAAAGCATCCCAATTCATTTGTTTGCTTTCATTTTTATTTTCTGAGCGATATATTAACCCACCTAATAGCACGGCATGAGGGTATATTATCCAGAGGTCAGTCTTCTGGGTGACTGGCTCATCTAAATAGTGGCCTCAAATACTTATGAGAAAATGTATGAGGGAAGAAACGCCCAAAACCAGTTCCAGCAACGGTGCTAGGGAAAGGCTTCCGCTCTCACTTAGTTTCTGGGCTAATCTGAAGTGACATGAGCTATGTTTATAGAGTTTTAGTCTATAGCAGATTTGGGCGCAATAAGATTCAAAGTGTGAATATTTGTCTTAGGGGACAGTCATTTAAAGTGTTGTTTCTCCAAGTGTGGATCCCAGACCAGTGTCATCTGGTCACCTGGGAGCTAGAAACTCAGACCTTCCCGCCTTACACTTGGCCTGCATAGCTAGAATGTATATTTGACCAAGGTTCCCTGGAAGCTTGTGGGACAATAAAGCTGTGGATGCATTGATTTAAGGTGAATGGTTATTTGAAAATCAAACTACTCCAATCTGGTGCCCATTAATCATGCTTGACGTAAGCCCCACGTAGGCATCATTCATTAACCATGTGAGCCCTTTCAACATAAGGTGGCAATATTGCTCCTTTAAAAAAAGGTTCTGTTAGTACCTGCTCATTAAGGTTTTCTGGGACAATGGTTCAAAACTGGGATAGCAGTTGGAGTTACAGCTAAAAAGGGAACTTGCTGTTAATCAGCCATAAACACTTTTATGCTTTTAAACACCAAGAACTATACCCATGAGTGCTTCCCATTTATGAAACTTCTTGCATATTAAAAAAAATGTGAGGACTAGAGAGATTGCTCAGTGGTAAGTGCTTACTGTGTTAATGAAGAGGACCTGAATAAAAAGCCTAGAGCATCTATCCACTCGTCAGGGACAGAGACAGGGTGACTGCCACCCTAGCTCTGGTTTGAATGGCAGACCTGTGTCAAGGGACTAAACCAAAGAGTGATAGAGCAGGGCACCTGATGTCTTCCTCTAGCTTTTGTGCATTCCTTTATGCACATACAATGCACACACATACACGCACATGAACATGCACACACCATGGCACATAACACTGAAAGTTGAGGACTACTGGTTAGTACTTCTCAAACTTTTTTTACTGAAGTAGCTTTGTTGGTAGAGGCTATCTCTGCAGGTCAAAGTGACCACCACAATCATTAATTTCTTTTATTCTCATGTAGTGTATTAATTGTTAGTTGTTGTGCTTATACTATAAAAATTAACTCCAAAGAAAAGCAGTAAGCAAAAAAATAACTAGACATTTTACAGTCTGGGTTGGTAATTCTTTAGCGAAATATTTTACAAATAAACAAGGATGAATGTATGAAGGAGATAAGGAATGTTCCTACCATTCCAGTTGTCTCTATAAATGCTTTTAGTATTTCTGATTGGGTGTGGGGTAAATGTATATTCCTAACATGAATCAACTCAAATTCCAGTAAACTCATACTCAGACTCCCCTATTTCTTATGTTTGCAGCTCATTGTGCAAATATTATCTATAGTTAAAAGAATTAGCCTATGTTGTGATATCATGTGAATGCATAGTATAAAGTCTGATGTTTAAGCTAAAGTATATCAAATGGTAGTATCAAGAAGTCGTAGGATTCCTCTCTTTGAGGAATTCCTCCTGGCATTACATCTAGAGAATGATTTATATGTGAATGTAAATATAGAATGTAGTTCTATCCATAATGACTAAAATGGTGCAACACCCCAAGGATTCAATAATAAGTGGACAAACAAATGTCAGATTCTCATATGATGGCATATACTCAACAATGGAAAGGTATGAATTATTGTATGTATACACTATAATATGGGTGAAGCTTGACCATATTATTCTAAGGGGAATCCAGCAGCAAAGCCTTTATTGTACAATTCTGTTTGTGTGCTGTCTAAAATAGTAAATCTATAGAGACAGAAAGCAGACTGGTGAAATGCGTAAGCTGGAACTAGGAACAGGAATTTATTCTTGGCACGAGGGTATGTTCTGGGATAACGCAATAAGGATCTGAGTTCAAATCCCAGTACCTATGTTAGCAAGCTGTTCATCCATTCCCCAAAATCATGAAGCACCAGCTCTGGGTGGTCTAACAACCTTTTCTGGCCACTACACTGTGCCATGCCTCGCCATACATATGTAAACCCTCACACAGACATGCTGTGGAACAACCCTTTACACTGTAAATATGTATTGCTCTCATTAATAAAAAGCTGATTGGCTGATGGCTAGGCAGGATTTTCAGGGCAGAGAGAATGCTGGGAAGAAGGAGGGCAGAGTTAGAGGGGTGCAGCCAGATAGCAAGGAAGGAGGACACGCAAGAGAGGTAAGAGCCACAAGCCGCGGGGCAGCACATACTTGAATAGAAATGGGTTCATTTAAACTGTAAGAGCTAGTCTGGGCTATCGGTCAAGCATGTATAATTATCTGTGTGGTTATTTGGGAGTCAGAAAAACTCCGCCTAAACTCCGCCTACGCAAATACATACACAAATAATTTCTCTCTAAGTTAAAATTATCTTTTTCACTGAAGCAGCATGTACAGGGCCTGCACAGGTCTGCACCAGGTCCTCTGAATATGTACTGTGGCTTTCAGTTTAGTACTTTTGTGAGACTCCTAAATGTCTGAACGAGTGGGTCTCTGATTCTTGTGTCTGCTCTTGGGGCTCTTTTCTTTTTCTGTTGGCTTGTCTTATCCAACTTTGATATGGGTTGTTTTATTTTTTTTTTTAATAATTTTTTTATTAAGAAAAGAAGAAAAAAAAACATAAACAAAAAACAAGTTTCCACCTCCTCCCAGCCTCCCATTTCCCTCCCCCTCCTCCCACCCTTCTCCCCCTCCTCCCACCCTTCTACCCCTCCCCCCACTCCTCTCCCCCTCCCTCTCCAGTCCACAGAGCAGTCCAGGTTCCCTGCCATGTGGTAAGTCCTAGGTCCTCCCCCCTCCGTCCATATCTAGGAAGGTGAACATCCAAACTGGCTAGGCTTCCACAAAGCCAGCACATTAAGTAGGATCAAAACCCCATGCCATTTTCCTTGGCGTCTCATCAGCCCTCATTGTTCGTCATGTTCAGAGAGTCCGGTTTTATCCCATGCTTTTTCGGTCACAGTCCAGCTGGCCTTGGTGAGCTCCCAGTAGATCAGCTCCACTGTCTCAGTGGGTGGGTGCACGCCTCGTGGTCCCGACTTCTTTGCTCATGTTCTCCCTCCTTCTGCTCCTCATTGGGACCTTGGGAGCTCAGTCCCAGTTAGTTCCTTGGGTAGCTGAGGATTGGGAACCTGAAATGACCCTATCTGATATGGGTTGTTTTAATCCTGAGATGGAACAAATCAAAATGATCCCCACAAAACTTAAACCCTTTAAAACTATAGAGAATACTCATATTGCAGGCATGTTGTCACATAAAATGTGTACACTGATTTTGATAACCATGGTCCTGAAGTGATCCAAGTATCTGTGGATTCTTAAAATGCTTTACAAAAGATAAGATATATTCTGATTCATTAACAACATCCTATCAGTCATACAGTCTAAAGAAAAAAAAATGAAAGAAAGCTTTAAAATACTGAAATAATCCTCATGTCATAAATGGCACAAATACAGGTTAACATCAAGATAATTTAACCTTGTATTTTATTACTGATAAGCTTTATTATTTACTTTGTTGACATCTAAAACTACTTCACAGTTTTTTCAGAGCATAATGGCATCTCTTCCCTTTTTGCATGAGGTCACACGTAAAGATCACACTAGAGATTTAGTCTGTACTGATCAAATATATCAATGACCGTTTACATCCAACAATTCTTTCCTCTCAAAACTAAGTGTATTATACACAAAAGTGAGTATATAACAGCTAAAGGGAACATCAGATGCACTCTTTCATGGGAATGTTTTATTTACATTTCATATTTAAAGAGAATCAGTACAAATCGAAGCATATTTACAGCATTTTCAAATCAGTGTACAAGAATGCAATGGTTTCATCCATCATATAGTCAGCAAACAAAAATCCATGTCTGTTCTATCTCTGTCTAAATTCTGCTGGAATCTGAACTCACTGGGAACAAAACTAATGGGCAAGCCACACGAAATAGAAATAAAGTGAATTTTTAAATAGCTCTATTTAACTTTGGTGGTTGAAGCTTCAAACTTTATATTAAGGCACCTGGAAATCCCCCCTTCCCTTGATTCTTTTTCAAACACCAACAAAATGCATTCACAAAACTATAGATATATGGACAGGATTTAAATTTAATATAATTAGAGCCTGTTAGGTCAAATGTAAACTTAATTTTCAATGTCAACAGTGTTTGGAAAATACTTTCTACAGACAAATCTTACAGAACATTTTCTGTAGATTAATTCTGCAGAGTAGTCTGTTACCAATTTTCTCTGATTTATTCTACTATTACTATTTTCACATCTTAGAGTAGTTTCTATTCTGTGCTTTTGAATATTTCAAGTTTGAGAAATAGTTTACAATAGTTTTGTAAGAAACTCTTTTGTGTCTATAATCTTGTGTGGTGTCACTGATATACCGATCAACCAATTCAGTTCATATTTTCTGACAAACTATGCTCACACTCACATGAAATACATACACAGCTTAATTAAAAAAGAAAAGGTTAAAATGAGCATTTTGCTTTAATCTTGTTCTATCAACGTAATGTATTTTAAATCGACATTTCATGAAGCACTAGCCTAAGTTTGCAATGCTTTTTACAATTCCAGATCAATACAAACACCCGGAGACAAACCCTGACACAAATAGCCCAAGCGAAAGTAGTAGCAGTGTTTCATTGTGATACTATTACGAAATAAAAGCGATTACAGCTACTCCACATATTGAAAGCAACATATTTTTATAAGAAAGTTGTTATACATGAAAAACCCGACTACTTGTAGACAGTTCTGAATGTTTAAAAATGTTGTTATCACTATCATCAAGAGGAAACTTGACTATGAAAAACACTATAATGAGTTTGTGGAAAAGTTGCTAGGTTAAATATGCTAAGCCACTTAACTATAGTATAATATTAGTCATCTCAGCACTTTCACTCGTCTTTATTACGTTTACCCAGTTCATTAATAGTAAACTAGGTCCTGATTGGCAGTCCCGTTATTACTAACGGTTCAAGTTTCTATTGACACAGATTTTATGATTTAATTTCGCGAACAGCAGTCTCTTGATTGGGGCTTTCATCTTCTTCAAAGGTTGGGTTGTCAACATGAGGAACAACATCCACAGCCACAGCACTTGCTTCATGGTTTACCAGCTGTAGATTTTCATCTGAAAACAGAAGGGAAAAATGTAGGGTGATTCCATTCGTCTCTCCTTTCAAGACAGAATTCTGCATCACATCTAAGAGGGCTTCCTCATTCAAGGTCATTATACTCTGATGATTATACCGCTTTCTGTTCCTTAATACCATGTGGCCTTTTCAATATCCAGTGTGGGGTGCCTGCCTATATTCATAGCATTCAGGGCAGTGAGGAACAAGCATTCTTGTGCTTTCAAGGCTAGCCTGAACTACACAGTAAACTTCAGGCTGACCTAGGCTACAGCCTGAAATCCTATCTCCAAAAAACAAAAAAAAACCATAATTTATATTGTTTCACATAAGGCAACTATGGTCCTATTGATTTATGGTTCCTATATTTGATTCATGTACATGTGTTTACTTTTACCTGGATTATAGTCTCATTAACGACAAAAGTTACATATTTTACTTTTTTTTCTTTCTTAAATATAACAGTTCTTAAACCTGGCTGCACATTACTACCTCTTGTGCTATTTAACCTAACTGTATAGTAAATACAATATATAATCATCCTTAAAGAAGAAAGGCGGGGATGAAAAAACATCTAAATAACTTCATGCCAGATGGCTAAAGAAAAAGAAATGGGTTGAATAGTCGTTGTTGAAAGTATTCTATCTTTATTCTAGAATTGAAAGGTTAAGTAAACATTTCTTGGATAAGGAAAGCCTTCTCCTTCCACCATCACTAATAGGAATTCCAAGTAAGGCCAGTAGGAAGGTCTAGAATGAGCCCTGGCTGTGGAGCTACAACCACACACATCCAGCAGCAAAAACTCAGTGTCTTCCAGATCAGAGGAAAAGGAACAGAGAAAGGAAGAGAAGAAAAGCTTTGTGAGGGAACAAGTTCATTATAGCCTTGTGCTTTGAAAAATTGATCAGAATAACCACCCAGTGGCTATGAGTGTGCCCAATGCCCAAATCTTGCTTTTGCTATATCAATCTCCAAGAAGAGACCTCTTGAAGAAATGGCAGATTCTGAGACAGGGAGTGTACAAGATTAACCTGGATTCTAGCCTAGGTGTCAGAAAACTATAACTCACGGAGCCAAAGCCACATTAAGAGTGCTTTTCACATTTTAAAATGTTTTCAAGACAAACCAACCCTTCCCCCTGAAAGATACACAAAAAGAATATGCAACAGAAATATATGTGGTTTTCAAACCATAAATATTTACTACTTGGTCCCTTAAAGAAAAAAAAAAGTCAACTTGAGACTGAAAGCATACTATGGTACCAGAAAGTAAGGAAGTCAAAAGAATAAAGAACCCAACTTAAATAAGTTTCTCAAGACAGAAATGAAGAATCTATGAGCAATGGACAAATCATGAAACTAACAAAGAATGAAAGAAGTATCTGTGATGTCACTTATTACCAATAAATGAATAAAATAGAAAGGGAATGGCTCTTCCTTAAATTTGAAAATTAATGTGTGGGAAGAAGGATAGAAATAGAACGTCACTATTTGGTGAATAGTTCAGTAATAAATTATAACAGGAAGTATCAATTATTGCTAAAGTTGGCCAGTAAAGGAGCCACGACAAAAGAGATATTTGCAAGGTTTCCAAGCATCTATCAAAAAGATATTTAATAATTACAAATGGAAAATGGTAACTTTACAGGGAAGAATTTGGCAGCCAGAACCCTTAACCAAGTGAACAAAGTTAAAATCATTTGTAATGAGAACATCGTGTGCCTCATAATATGTGCTGCTGACAGGCACAGAGCATCATCCTCTGGCATTCTTACCAGAAATGGACAGTGATTTAATTTTCATGAAGCAGCAGACAAGGCTAAATAAAGGAACATTTTATAAAGTAATCTTCAAAAATATCAACATCATAAAAGGCAAATACTAAGGAATTGTCATAGATTGAAGATCAAGGAGACTTACAAGTACAGGAAGCGTGAGGCCTTGGGGCGGAAAAAAGGACATGCGTGGGCCAGATGGTAAAGTTGAGGAAGGTCTGTAGTTAATATTTCATCAGGTCATTTTCTAGGCTCTATGCAAGTATATGGTTATATAAGATATCCATATTTGCAGAAACTAGGAAAGGGGTAGATGAGCACTCTCGGTACTATTACTGAAACTTATTTTCAGTCTAAAGTTATTTCAAAATTTAAACTAAAACTACATGTAATTGGGCCCCATCCCTTATGAATTCTTTTTTTATTTTTATTTATTTATTAAGGATTTCTGCCTCCTCCCTGCAACCGCTTCCCATTTCCCTCCCCCTCCCCCGATCAAGTCCCCCTCCCTCATCTGCTCGAAGAGCAATCAGGGTTCCCTGACCTGTGGGAAGCCCAAGGACCGCCCACCTCTATCCAGGTCTCCTAAGGTGAGCATCCAAACTGCCTAGGCTCCCCCAAAGCCAGTATGTGCAGTAGGATCAAAAACCCACTGCCATTGTTCTTGAGTTCTCAGTATTCCTCATTGTCCGCTATATTCAGCTAGTCCGGATTTATCCCATGCTTTCTTATTAAATTGCCCTAAAGTGCTCTTTATATGCCAGATTTTTTTAAAAAAAAAAATCTCTCCATGTGATTCTGATGTACAGCATGGTTGATAACCAAGGGCCTTAGTGGATATATTCCCTGTACCAGAAGTATCAGTATCACCAGAAAAATTGCTATAGATATACATTTTCAGGCCCCACTCCAAACCCACTGAGTCAACAAGCCCTCTAGGACATTAGGTAGGTAGTTAACTTTGAAGACTTGTATTCTAACAGAACTGATCCCAATGATGTATTACATAGATGAAGTAATTATGCACTTGCAATTATAAAAATCAACTGCCCCCACAACTGACTTTGAGATACCACCTCATACCAGTCAGAATGGCTAAGGTCAAAACATCAATGATAGCCTATGCTGGAGAGGATGTGGAGTAAGGGGAACACTCCTCTATTGCTGGTGGGAATGCACACTTGTGTAACCACTCTGGAAATCAGTATCGCAATTTCTCAGATAATTGGAAATCAACCTACTGCAAGATCCAGCAATACCACTTTTGGGCATATACTCAAAAGATGCTCAACCACACTATAAGGACATTTGTTCAACTATGTTCATAGCAGCACTATTTGTAATAGCCAGAATCTGAAAACAACCTAGATGCCCCTCAACTGAAGAATGGATAAAGAAAATGTGGTACATTTGCACAATGGAGTGCTACTCAGAGGTTAAAAAAAATGACATCTTGAAATTTGCATGCAAATGGATGGAAATAGAAGAAACCATCCTGAGTGAGGTAACCCAGATGCAGAAAGATGAACATGGTATGTACCCACTCATAGTTGAATACTAGCTATAAAGTAAAGGATAAGGAGCCTATAGTCCATGACCCCGGAGAAGCTAAGTAACAAGGAGAACCCTAAGAGAAACATATATAAATCACCCTGGGAAGAGGAAATAGACAAGATCTCCTGAGAATATTGGGAGCATGAGGTGGGGGAGAAGGGAAGGCAGAAGAGGAGGAGGAGGGGAGAAGGGGAGGGGAAGAAGAACTAGAGGGAACAGAATGGTCCAAATGGGGGAAGGACAGAGAACAAGGAAAGAGCTATCTTGATCGAGGGAGCCATTATGGGGCTAGCAAGAAACCTAGCAATAGAGAAATTTCCAGAAATCCACAAGGATGACCCCAACTAAGTCACTAAGCAATAGTGGAAAGGGTGCCTGCACTGGCCTTGCCCTGTAGTCAGATATGACTATCTTAAATATCATCATAGAACCTTCTTCTACCAACTGACAGAATCAGATGGAGAGATCCACAGTGGAGCACTGGGCTCAGTTCCCAAAGTCCAGTCGAAGAGTGGGAGAAGTGAGAATACAAGCAAAGAGGTCAAGACCATGATGGGGATACCCACTAAAACAGCTTATCTGAGCTAATGGAAGCCTTCCAACTCTGGCCTGGCAGTGAGGGAACCAGCATAGGACCAAACTAGTCCCTCTAAATGTGGGTGACAGTTGTGTGGCTGGGGTAGACTGTGGGGCCAATGGCAGTGAGACCAGGATTTATTCCTATTACTTGTTCTGGCTTTTTGGAACCCATTCCCTATGGAGGGATATTTTGCTCAGCCTAGATGTAGGGGTGAGGGCCTTGGTCCTGCCTCAAAGCAAGGTGCTAGACTGTGTTGACTCCCCATGGGAAGCTTCAGCCTCTCTGAGGAGTGGATGGGGGTGGTATGGGGGGTAAGGGGGGAAATGTGCAGAGTGCAGGAGGAGAGGAAGGAGTGGGAAATAGATTTGGCATGTAAAATAAGAAAGGATTTTTAAGAAAATTATAGGGAAAAAAGATGGCCCATAGATGTGGATCCACTCCACCCTGACCAAAGGTGAGAGAATTCAAGCCTATTCCTGTTCCTTAATTTTAAAATAGGAGGTTTGACCTAGGGAGTGGCTGCCTATAGGATGCTTGTTCGAGTCTTGCTTTACTCAGGAAACAATGGCTTGATGTCTCAAGTATCAAAGCAATAACTTCTGGTTATCCTTTGTGTCATATTATAACAGTTTTTTGACTTCTCCCCCCACTTTGTATTGGGAGCATAAAAGTGTATAAAAAATAAATGTGAGTGGATTCAGTATTCACTGAGTTACCCTCGTGGTACTTAAAAGAAATCAACGGCCATTGTAATCAGTGACAAACATGTCATATCCCCAAACCGGCAAGTTGCAATCACAGACAAAATTGAATGTGATCTAAGGGATCATTTATTCAACACAAATTTCCATATCTTAGGTGGCAGCATGTGCTGAATGGGAAACAGGTTAACAGAAGCCACCTTCCTCACTAAGAGGAAATAAAAGTTACATGGTACAATTTAGTTCACTAAATGCATCCATAGAAATTTGTGGGTGTGGACGTGAAAGTGAAATCAAGGCTTCTGAAAGAGTCTGCGAGGCATGCCTGCAGAGGGGGAGCAGACATTAGACTGGGAAAGGAAGAGTGGAAGTATGACATAGAGAAGCAAGGGGCTCAAACTCTGTTTATGAAAGATGAGAAATTAAGGGGCAGATCTGAGAAAGTGTATTGAATCAACAGGAAAGAGGGAATGAAGAATCTGGGGAACTAGGGATCTAGGGACGAATCCTTAAGGCCTCAAAGTGGGCGTCACTAGCATTCATCCAGGAAAGAATGCAGGAGGAACATGGACCATTATTTCATTTGCTAGTCAAATGATCTGTAAAGTCTCTCTACTTCCCCATCCTCTGAACCAACCCCCACAAGAACTGAACACAATTAAGTAGGGTGGAATTTTGTATATAAAAAAATCTAACACAATTTAAATTATCTTTTATCTTCATCAAATTCTCTTACCACACCATTATGGGAACACAACATTATGACAAAAAAACAATGACTCAGTATTATAGCTAGAACAATCCACAGATAATTAACATTCCTATGAATGTACTGAAGGAAATGTCTGGAGATCAGATTGCAAGAAATACAAAGTTTGCTTTTATACGGCTGTGTGCCTTGTGACGTCTTCAGCAATGGTATTTATGGCACTGATAAGCCTACAGAGGGCAAAGGTTTATGGCACAGAAAGCTGAAATATTCACAAGCTATTGTAGTAATTAGTTTCTTCCACTTTTACACTAAAATCGGGTGTCTTCAAGGTAAGAACCGAGGGGAAACTTTCAAACTAAGAAAAACTTGGAAAAAGTTAGAGGTTAGAAAAAGGAAAACTAATTTATAGAGAGACTTGATATTTTTAGAGGAAAAAGTAACAAAATTACCCCCAAATTTCTCCATTCATATAAAATTACTAAGCTGTAATAATAATCCACATGAATTCCAAAATTAATTATGTTCAATCTTAGTTTCTAACAATTGATTCATAGCCTAGAAAAGTCAACAGGTGGCAGCACATACCATTGTTAAACCTAGTTTCCTATCTGCAAGATGGATTCCTGAGAATATAGGCATAAACCTAACTGTTGTAAATCAAATTCTTCTATTATTCCAGGAGTCATTTATCCTCCATTCTGATTTATCTGTCATAAACAATGGCTGCTAAAATTTAAAGTTTCTCCTTCACCTCAGTAAGAAGTTAATGGCTCAGAGAGCAGCTTTCCAACAAAACCTCTTCTTCTGTGAATAATCCTAATTCCTGTGGCATGCCATCTATTTCAGGAACATTTGAATATGTATGTACTCTTTGAATATGCATATACTTTCTGGCAGGAGTACATCTTTCATTGCATCATTTTAAATAGCAAAAGAACTTGAAATGGCATAATGCATGAATGGAACCACCACTAAAAAGCAAGATTACGTGGCTAGATGTGTGGCCCACAGTGGACGACTTGAGATGAGCCCACTGCTCTGCAGTCTGATGCTTACTTGCTGACTGCACATGTTCCTCCAGAGGCGGCTCATCTGCTCCCTGGACCGAAGCATAGCCAGATGATGCGGTCTCGCTGCGATTGTCCTCTTCGTGGGGAGAAGCAATATTAGATGCATTATTGGAAACAGGAACTTGTAAAGACACTGATCCATCTTCAACATCCACCTGTGGTAAGCATTCAAACAAATTGACTTTCAGAGTACATGCATTATTACATTGACATATGGTTATGATGTTTTTCAGTAGTGATAACACAGTAATATTTCTTAACCTTATTAGTAATATTTCTCTACCCCATTTTCATGTCACAGAAATCTCTTACTGGCCCCAGTCACGGTAGCAGGAGTAGGCATTGGCTATACCAATGGAGTACATATGTCTTCATCTGGCTGATCTCTTCACCTCAAACATAATGGTGGGAACAAGGTATACTCAGTATACATTAATATATAGTATTCTGTCCCAAAAGAGAACTGAAAATTGCTCTCATCTCATATTTCTGTTCTGTTAAAAAGATTTCATCGAGTTGACATTTATCTTGAAGATACGTTTTTTTCATTTACCAAGTACAAAATTATAATTTTATTATGCTTTCTCAAATGGTCATGGTTACTTAATGACAAATTTGAAACTTTGCAATAAATGACAGGGTTAAAACAGAAAAGTAGGTAAGTTGGTAGTTTAGAGTTCTAATTCTGATCCAAATACTAAGTACATTTGCGATGAGAGAAGGAAAATGGATATGTCCACGATCGTATGAGCGTCTCTGTGGCTATGAAAGAAATAGGTCTAGTTTTTGGTATCAACTAAATGATTTGCACATTACCTCCCCAGAGAGAGAAGGATGTTATTGTCATAAATGCCCGGGAATATAAATACCACACTGCTGAAGTTCCTTCAGAGAAAGAATATAGCAACGTTTACCTCAATTCCCAGAGCTTTGAGAATGTCACACTTGCACATGGGGCAAGTCCTGTGTTCTAAAAGCCATGGGTCCACACATGTCTTATGGAAAATATGACTAATGAAGGAGAAAAGAGATAATGCAGTTACAAGATGTGAAACAGAAACCACACTTTGCGCCTCCCCCCACCACCACCACCACGGACACATGCACACACGCACACACACAGAGATGACTCTTAGCCTTTGCTAGGATGTCTTTTCCCCTTTTAAACATACCATTAATAAAGAGGCCACAAGAATAGATTCTGGAGATTTCATAATGCAAAGCTCTTAAATATAGAGGCCCCATTACTCTAGCCTCAAAAAGTTATTTTTAGTATTCATAACTTGAAAATGGCTAATGCTACTTGACTTAAGTCTCTTGGCATTTCACATGTTACAATATTAAAATTATAAGTTCCATAACTCTAAAATGGAATCATCATTCTCAGTAACAGAATGATAAAGTACTGAGTACGACATAGTACCAATGCTTCAGGCAATGAAACGAGCTCCAAGAACAGCGCTATTTAACAGCTGAGAAGACAATCTAAGACTAACCTTCTGGAGAGGAACTGTATTTTAAAATCTAAAGAGTAAAGACTTCAAAGTAGGCCACTAAGTTGAGCTTATGTTTTCTCAAAAGAAATGTTAGAATGAATTTAAAATAAATAAGCAAGTACTAAACACACACACACACACACACACACACACACACACACACACACACACACACACACACACACACCGATGACTAGGTTTCTCGGTTTCCTGCAGGGAAAACAAACTGTTGAGAACAAATTGTACTGGATTTTGGAAACTATAATTCAATTTTAGTGCTATATCAATTTGGAAGCATTCAAAACAGTTTTCCTTCATCATGCTAACTTTAAGGATGTTATTTTTATGGATATGAAAGAAGATGAAACTTACTTGCAGGTTAGGATGCGCACCAAATCATTTGGTTTATAGAGCTCAATACACACAGCACAGCTATCTCCATCAGGGCCAATTTCCTGTGAACAAATAGTTACTGTTACTCAAACAAGAAAAAGCAAATTAAATGTCAGAGCTGGACCAGCATATGCACATGCAGTTTAACACCTAGAAATTCTTATACAAAGAGAAACATTACTGAGGATGCAACTATGAAGTTGCAGTGGGTGATTTCAATTCATTGACCTTTGGAAGAGGCAAAATAACAAAGTCTACAAAATGAAGAAAGAACAAATTAAATCATGTAGTACTGACTTCAACTCTTTTTCCTGTCTTGAGAATTTATAGAAAGCCATCTGTATATTTTCAGATATGTTTTCTCTAAAAAAGTAAGGTATAATTTACATATAGCAAACCCCAGTCATTTTTACAGTCTTGCATGTTCTTAAAAACATGTAGTAATCTAATCCCCACCACACTCAAGATATAGAATAGTGACATTACCCCCAATAAATTCATTCATATTCCTGTAGTAACTAAGCCTTTCTCTCATTCTCAACCTCTGCCTATCACTGTTATGTTTTCAATCCCTATACCTTAGGCTTTAAAAACTAATGCCAAATAAATGCAATCATGTATCATCTAACTTCTGAGTATTACTTCCTTCATAATTATAGGGTCTTTGATAGTCACATATGTATATTATTGCAGGTAGCAGAAGGACTTGCTAACACTTTTATTACTAAATTGTATTCCACAGTATGAATATTCCACAGGTTATCCATTTATCAGGTGATGGGAATTCAGATTCTTTCCATTTTGGAAAGAATTACTAATAACTACGTTTAGGAATTTAATGGGGATATAGGAGTTTCCTTTCTTTGCAGTGAATATCTAATATGGTAAATGCATTTTAACGTCATAAGGGATTGTTAATCTGTTTTGCAGGGTAGACATAATCATTTAGTATTGTCACCAGAAAATAAATAAGAATTCCAGAGGTTGTACATATTCATCAGGTCTTAGCAACCCTAATGAATGTGTACTGGTAACACATTTGGTTCTAATTTTGTATTTTCCTAATGACCAGTGACACTGAGTATTCTTTTGTATACTTCTCAGCCATATGTTCATTTGATTAATGTATGTATATTTAGCATACTTACTATATTTATTAATTTTCAAAATATTTTTATTGTTGTGAGCCACCGAATGGGAGCTGTAAATTGAACCCAGGACTTGTAAAAGAGCAGCAAATATTCCTAAACTCTGAACCATTTCTTCAGCCCATATTTATTCTAAGTAATTAGCACATAGAGTATTAGGTTTCATTATAGTACTTTTGTTTTTATTTTATTTATTGTTATTTTGTGTGTAGGAGTGCCTGAATGCATGTCTGTACACCACACGCATGCAGTGCCTTCACAAGCCAGAAGGAGGCATTGGCTCTCCTGGGACTGGAGTTTCAGATGATCGTCAGCCACCATGTGCTCACTGGAAATTGAACCTGGGTCCTCTGCTCTTAGTCACTGACTCATCTCTGCAGCCTCCACACAGTGGAATTTTCAGTTTATTGTGTTGTTGCTGATTCTCCCCCATCTCATGTTCTCCAACTTCTCCTGCCCCTTCTTGTACTGTTATACTCCTCCCCCATAACCTCTTTTCTGCTTCCCTATCACAGGTTTGTGTCTTTATTTTTTTTGGCTGCTTCTGTTGTCGAGACAAGAGTTTTTAATATTCTAAGTGTAGTCGTTTAATAAATATGCAATTTGCAAATATTTTCTCTAAGACTGTACCTTGTGTTTCCCTTCCTTAAAAACTGTCTTACAAATAACAGAAATACATTTACTTATTTATTTGTTTATTTAGTTGATACAGGGTCTCATTATGTCTTGGAATTTGCTATGTAGACTAGGTTGGTCTCACTCTCAAAGACACCTATGCCTCCAAATTTTGGGGTTAAAAGATGTGTTACACCATGTCTAGCAACAATAGAAATCTTTTCATTTTTATTTTATTTTACTTTACTTTATGTGGATGTAAGTTTTACCTTCTTTTAGGTCTGTGCACCATGTGTATGTCTGATGCCTGCAGAAGCCAGAAGAGGGCATCAGATACCCTGGAACTGGAGTTACAGATGATTGTGGGCCACCATGTAAGTGTTAGGAATTGAACCTGGGTCCTCTGAAAGAGTGGCCAGTGCTCTTGAATCCTCCTTAAAACAGAAATTCTTAAACTCTGACAGTCAAATTCTACATTTTCTCTGTGGACCTGTGTTTCGGTGTCATGCATAAAAACTATTAATGTATCCCATCCACATCTGAATTATTTTTCTCCCAAAGACTTCCAAAGAATCAATAGTTGCTGGATGGTGGTGGCACACGCCTTTAATCCCAGCACTCAGGAGGCAGAGGCAGGTGGATCTCTGTGAGTTTGAGGCTAGCCTGGTCTACAGAGCGAGTTCCAGAACAGACTCTGAAGCTACAAAGAAACCATCTCTCCAAAAACAAAACAAAAAAAAAAACAAAACAAAAACAATAGTTATAGACTGTATATTTAGGCCTATACTCTTTTAAGTTAATTTTTACACTGTATGGAGAATGGAGGTATTTTTAAAATGGATACTATGCTGGCTAGTTTTTATTTTAATTTTTATTCATTTTACGTATCAACCAGAGTTTCCCCTCCCTCCCCTCCTCCTGCTTCCATCCCACCTCCCACCTCAGTCTACCCCCTATCCACTCCTCCAAAAGGGTAAGGCCTCCCATGGTGAGTCAACAAAGTCTGGTCCATTAAATTGGGGTAGGACCAAGTCCCTCCCCACTGCATCAAGTCTGAGCAAGGCATCCCACCATAGGGAATGGGCTCCAAAACTGGTAACACAGGTGGTTCTGATTTTGTATTTCTCTAATGACCAGTGACATTGAGTATTCTTTTGTATACTTCTCAGCCATATATCAACTTGACGTAAGTTTTATATCAATTTGGCATAAGTGTCATTTAGGAAGAAGGAATCTCAATTGAGAAAATACTCCCACCAGATTGGCCTGTGGGGCACCTTCTCGATTGATGGGTGATATAGGAGGTCACGGCTCACTGCAAGTAGTGTCACCCTGGGCTGGTGTTCCTGGGTGGTAAAAAGAAGCACTCCTCCATGACTCGGCATCAGTTATTGCCTCCAGGTTCTTGCTCTGTTTGAGTTCCTGCCTTGACTTCCCTCAGTGATAGATGTGATATAGAACTGTAAACCTAAATAAACCCTGTTCTCCACAGGTTGCTTCTGGTCATGGTGTTTTAAGTATAGCAATAGAAACCTTAACTAAGTCATATACTCAATCACTGCAGAGAATTCTCCTTGCTTTGTCGCCTTTGGATCTTCAAAAAAAAAAATTGGCCACATGTTCATTGCTGCATTCTATACTGTTCCATTCATTTCTGGATTCTATACTGTTCCATTCATTTATGGATCTAGCATTTCTGGATTCTATACTGTTCCATTCATTTATGGATCTAGCATTTCTGGATTCTATACTGTTCCATTCATTTATGGATCTAGCATTTCTATACTCCCACAGATACAGCCTTGAAATAACCCTGAAAACTGGGGGGATGTGAACTACTGTTTGAGGTTGTTCTTTTTTATCCTCCCTATATTAAGAAAAGGTCTTTCTATGTAACCCAGGCTGAACTTGAATTTACAGCTCTTTTATCTCACTTTTCTGGATGCTGGAATTGAAGGCATGTATAAGACTCTCAGTACATGGTCTAGGAATGAAGTCATGTGAGAATTCTGAGTGCTTGTGAGAAAACTCCAAAAAAAAAAAAAAAGAGTCTTGTGACCTCAGTTTCTTCAAAACACTGAATTCTTTCTGGAATGTGTCTACGGGCTCCTCCCAGGTGTAGTGGACAGGAATGACTTTACCTCAGCTTGCTCGGCTGATCTTACTCAATTCATGTTTATATGCCTCTATGGGAAAATATGTTTTTGCCACATGTGGCTTGTTCTTGCGATTGTATGCAGCTTGAACTCGTGGGACCTTTACTCATCTGACAATTCTAAACCTTTAGAGTATAAACTGTCAGGTGCTCTGAATAAAGTTGGCTATTGCATGAGACTTTAGTCAGCCTCATTTTTCAGCTCCACTCTCCCACGTCCCACTGTCTTTAGAGCGGTAACACAGCACATCCAGCTTCTACAGTTCTTATGCATCCAAATTGTTTGGATTATACTGGCTCTTGGGCTTTTCCAATACTTAATACTATCTCATGAAAATTCTTGTTGAAATGCTAATTCATAGGTTAGTTTAAGGTGAACCAACACCTTAACGATGAAGTTTTTGATCCACAAACATTATATATATATATATATATAATCCATTTTTATAGTTTCTTTGATTTTTTTCTCCATACTTATGGTTGAACTCAAAAGCCTTGAGGATGCTAGAGGTAAGTGCTCTACCACTGAGCTATAATTGCCAGATCCTGTGATTTCTTTCATTGGTGCTGTACAACTTTTAACATATAAATCTTGCTCACATTTTGAATATTTATATCTAAGAACGTAATGTTTCTGATGGTGTTATAAGTGATAAATCTTTATCTCAGTATGTCCTGCAGGTTTTTTGGGATATCTTTTGCCATCAATAGGTTTTCAACTGTCCTAAATCTCAAATGGACATTCAAAGTTGTACTGAAGCATGATATTAGTTTTCTCTCATTGCTGTTGCAAATTACCATCCTTTGATGGCTTATGTTAGCATGGCTTTTTACCTTTTGTGGAGGTGAGAAGTAACTGAGGTGTTGGCTGTTCTACATTCCTTCTGGAGGCTTCAGGGAAAATACCTGTCATTGCCTTTTCTAGCTTCTGGAGCATTCCTGCATTCTATTTCATGGTCTCTTCCTTGACTCATTCCACTTTTTTTTTTATTCCATTGCAACCTTGCTATGGATGGCGGTCAAACCTCCACCTTTACTCCAGCTTATACAGATTCTGATTATATTTAGGGTTTGTCTAAATAATCCTGGATAGATGGGGAGAGAAAAGGTAGAAGGGAAGGAGTGGGGGGCTTGGGGAAACAGGAGGATTGGGATAAAGGAAGGTTGGACAGGGGAGCACGGAACCACAATTCTTAGTTAAGGGAGCCACTTTAGGGTGGGCAAGAGACTTGACCCTAGAGGGGCTCCCAGGTTCCCAAGCTGAGGTCCCCAGTTAGTTCCTTGGGCAGCTGAGGATTGGGAACCTGAAATGATCCTATCCTAGAGCAATACTGACAAATATCTTGCATATCACCATAGAACCTTCATCTGGTGATGGATGGAGATAGAGACAGAGACCCACACTGGAGCACTGGACTGAATTCCCAAGGTCCCAATGAGGAGCAGAAGGAGGGAGAACATGAGCAAAGAAGTCGGGACCACAAGGGGTGCACCCACCCACTGAGACAGTGGAGCTGATCTATTGGGAGCTCACCAAGGCCAACTGGACTGTGACTGAAAAAGCATGGGTTAAAACTGGACTCTCTGAACACGGCGAACAATGAGGGCTGATGAGACGCCAAGGACAATGGCACGGGGTTTTGATCCTACGTAATGTGCTGGCTTTGTGGGAGCCTAGCCAGTTTGGATGTTCACCTTCCTAGATATGGACGGAGGGGGTGTTATGGTTTTGGTCCCTTTAAGAGACAAGCCACACCCATTCCCCTCCACATCCACTGAGGCAGGCTGATCTTCAGCTTCCAGTCCTGAGCTAATTCTCTCTTTTCCATCTTCCTCTCGGAGAGGCAGCTTCACTTCTGCCTCTCTCCCCACTTCTCTGCTTCCCCCCTTCTCTGTCCCTTTCTCCTCTTCTCTCTCTCTCCCTCTCTCTCTGTCCCCCCCTTCACCCTTCCTCCTCCATAACCCCCTGAATAAACATTCAACCTCACCCTGCATGTGGTGTCTATCCATTTTTCTGTCTTCTGCCCACCCGCCATGTGTCTCCCTGCCTGGAACCAGCCATTGCTCGGGGACCAGCAGCCATCTCTGCCTGGGGCCCACTGCCTGCTGCCACATGGCCCACCACCACTTCTCGCCACCACTTCTCTGAGACCAGCAGCCATCTCTGCCTGGGACTGGCTGCTCCCAGGGCCCGCTGTCTGCCGCCACATGGCCCGCTGCCACCATTTGGGACCTACAGCATTTCTGCTGCCTACCACCACCGGGGATCTTGCAGCATTTTTTTAAAAAGAACAACAGGGGGGAAGACCTAGGACTTACCACAGGGCAGGGAACCCTGACTGCTCTTTGGACTGGAGAGGGAGGGGGAAAGGAGTGGGGGGAGGGGGAGAAGGGTGGGAGGAGGGGGAGAAGGGTGGGAGGAGGGGGAGGGAAATGGGAGGCTGGGAGGAGGTGGAAACTTGTTTTTGGTTTTTTTTCTCCTTTTCTCAATAAAAAAATAAAATAAAATAACAAATAAAAAAAATAATCCTGGATGATCTCCCTCTTTAACTTTCCACATCTATAATTTCTTTCTGCAAGATATTGTAACATTTACAGGTGCCAGTGATTCGTACCTAGGAACAGTTGAGGGCCATTGTGTAGTCTAATTGCAGTATTGAATAGAATAGTATTGAATAGAAATACCCAGTGAGGTATATCAATGCTAGCAAAAAGACAATTGCAGAGGGCATTTAAAGAATGTCCTGGTAGCTTTGCTTTAAAAGTAATAAAAGTACCTTGTCTCCTTGCTTCAAAGTGCGCAGCTGAAGCCTTCCAATAGCTTTTTTAGCATCTGCCTTTAACTGTCTCTGTAATAAAAACAGATATTAGAAGACATGTGTTTAAAAGAAGTATGATAAGAAGGTATAGTAGTTTAATAGTAATTGATAAAAGTTACTATCCAAATAAAAATTCAGAGATTAAAAATCTGCGGCTGGGGAGATGGCTCAGTTGGCAAAGTACTTGTTATGCAAGCATAAAGCTCTAAGTTTGATGCCCAACACCCACAGAAAAGCTAGGCACCATAGTTGCTGACCTTCCTTGTCACCTGGGTACCCTGTCCCTTTAAGCCCCACCCCCACCCCAGAGGCAAGCTGATCTCCTGCCTCCCTCTACTTGCCTCTTCTGAAGAGGTAACTACTGCCTCTCTCCCCTTTCCCCTTACCCCCTTCTTTCTTCTCTCTCCCCTCTCTTTCTTCTTTCTCTGTCCCCCCCCTTCTCTCTTTCTCCCGTTCTCCCCTCCCCTCCATAACCCCTCACTCCTATATCATTCCCAATACCCATTAAATAAATTCTAGACCCAAGCTCTGTCCGCATGGCATATCTGTCTGTCTCCCACCTGAGGAGGTCTCCCACCCACCGGGGCCTACCAGGGTCACACCACCGAATATCTTTCAATAGTGTGTAACTCTGATTCCAGCACTGGGGAGGCAAGGACAGGAAGATCACCAAGCTTTGCTAGCCAGTCAGTCAGGTTGATTCAGTGAGCTCCAGGTTCAATGAAAAACTCTGGCTCAGCAAGGAAGATTAAGGGCAATTGAGGAAGATACCTGTCTTTGACTCTCCATACATATGAGCAAATGTATGCATGCCCACACTCAATTTTTAATTAAAAAAATTTATATGATATATTTTGATCATATTCTTTCTTTTAACTTCTCTCAGATCCTCCTCCCCACCTCTGTATCCATCCAACTTCATGTTCTCTCTCTTCCCTTTCCTCCCTCCCTCCACAAAACAAAACAAAACAAAACTAACACCAAAGTTAGTCCAAAAGTGCCTTAAGGCAAAAATACCAAAACAAAACAAAACTGCACAAAACAAAACAAAAAACAGAATCTGTTTTGGTTTAGCTTGCTACTCCTGGATATGGGGCCTGCCCTTGAGTGTTGTTGACATACTCAGTGACACGCCAGTGGAGAAAACTGGTTTTTCTCTTTCCCAGCAGGTATCAATTACAAATAGCTTCTTGGCGCGCACACACACACACAAACACACGCACGCGCGCGCACACACACACACACAAATTAATTAACCATATTACATATCTTATTTATCTGATATCAAGCAGGATCTTCCAAATTACTGAACCTTTTCCTTCTAGCCCACTAAGTTGTATGCTGCCTATATTCCAGCTGTGTGCAGCCACCAACTAGAGCAGTGGCCCTCACCCTTCCTAATGCTCCCACCTTTAATGCAGTTCTTCATGCTGTGTTGAACCCCGACCATCAAATTATTTTTGTTGCTACTTCATATGTGTAATTTTGCTACCGTTATGAACTGTAATCTTATATGCAGGATACCTGATATGTGCTCCAAACGGGGTAGCAACCCATAGGTTGTGAACTGCTGTACTAGAGTACGGTCTGTCCACCAGGGCTCCATGCTAAAACTGACTTTCCATTCCAAGTACCCATCCACTGTTAATAGTTCAACTAGGCGTGGATGCTTCCAGCCCCTCCTCCTTCCTGTCCTAATGCTGACTGGTTTGATCTTGTACAAGTCTCGGTGAATTAATCACAGTTGCTATAAGCTCATGAGTCTAGTGGTCCTATAATGTCCAGAAGATACTATTTTGCCCTTGTCCTTTCCAGCAACATCTGGCTCTTATCATTTTTCTGCTCCCTCTTCTAAGATATTCTCTGAGCCTTGGGGTCAGGCAGTGTGATGCAGGATGTCCCGTTTATGGTTGAGTACCCCACCAACACTTGTTCTCTCTACATCGATCAATTGTGAGTTGCAGAGTTAACTCCTATGCACTGCACAGAGACACTTCCCTGATAAAAACTGAAAATTGCACTAATCTATGGATTTACACATATGAATCTGGAAGGCAGTTTGATGCTATGTCCATTTAGCAAAATACCATTAATATGTAATATGTCTACCCCCTGGGTAATACTAGTAATATGTAATGTGTCTACCCCCTGGGTTCTTGGCCAGATTTATAGTACCAATCATTAGTCTCCTCATGATGAGTACACCTTAAATCCCCCAAATTACTCAAACCTACATACTGTGTTTCTCTACTTTTAAAAAAATAGCATGCCTGCGACCATAATTGTAAAAAACAGTATGCCTCTCTCCCAAATGAGTTCAGATACTATGAATTTTTGAAGCAATTTTTCTATTTTTAAGGCTCAGAGGACCTTAAAGCATACCTTCTTCAATTTCTTTTCTGAAATGGGCCCTGTTCAAACAAAAGTGCACAGGATTTGAATTCAAATGGACCTAGATTCAAAATCTGAATTTGTCACTGAATAAAGAATAATACTAAGAAGTCACTGAATTATTGAACTTACCTACTTTTCTATGAAATGTGGATAATAACAACCTTATAATATTCCGTATTAGGAAAACGTGCTGCGAATAACCACCATTGTCTAGGAAGGAGGACAGATTCCGAGTTGTCTCATTGAGCACATATCTAGATGAGTCTGGATATTCAATGTCAGACTAAAGCTCAGGAACAAGGACTAAGGCATATAAAGTGGGATGATGCTATAAGTTCAGAACGGATGATAAAGAATGGAATTGTTGAGAGGCTGTCTTTCTTCTATGCAGTTTGAACTGGCCCCAGGAAAATTAATGTCACAAATAAATCCTCCTTTTTCTTTGAGAAAAAAAAAGTCTGTATTCTAGATAAGAATGTCTCCGGTGACTATATCAAGTGTTTAAAATGAAGTTGAGGTAGGTTTCACATCAGAGCAGGTGCTGTGTGGACTCAATAGCATTGCAGCAAGACACAATATACAATCTTATTTTGAATTGTAAAAATGAATAAACTTACCAGAAATTCAGCAAACAATAGCTGTTCAACCAGAGTTCATTATGAGAATGAAGATACAACCCCCTCCCCCCCCATGCAGGGTCTGGTCCCTAGCAGGGTCTTCAGCTGACACGTTACATGAAAGTTAGATATAATACAAATAAAACATCTACCACAGTGCCTGACATATATAGATACTCAATAAGCTATCGACTAAATGAAACTATAAACTATTACTTATAAATAAATAACACTGGGTACAGGTAACATATCCATAAATGTTTCTGACAAATAAATTTTGGAAGGAAATAATCCATAGTATGGGTATGTAAATATTGTCCTCAATGCCGCATGATATATCCTCCATACCATTTTTGAAAGGTATTTGACTTAAAGCTAACAGATTACTAGCCAAACCATTTTTCTTCTGCCACAGGAACAGCAAACATCCCTCTCAGATGGCTACTTTAGCCAGTAACTACAGATCAGTGGAAATAACTCATGAGGGTGTAGCTGAAAGTCCTAGGAAAGGCTAGACGAATAAGACAACTTGATCTTTATATTCCTGGAGTCTAGCCCAATAAAACCGTCCAGAATTCAGCAGTCTTCTGATAGTTGTTCAGTTTTTTGAGCCTATGGTCTGGGAAACTGTTTTCCTTTCACTGAACAGCTAGGACCCACAGGCCTGGCTGTGGCTCAGATTTCTAGGCCTGGGCACTTCCTTATCATGTAGATCAGGAGCTACTCAGACACTGAGAAAAAAAATGCAAAGGGAAACAGAGCCAATGAGAGACAGGACTGTAATAAACCCAGAAATATATCTTTGTTGATTCTTTTGTTATTTGTCCTTAAAGCATTTCTGATTGAGGTTTAAGCGACAAGCTCTGTAGGCAGTGGAGAAAGGTACTCATTAGGAAGTGGTATTTCCCTGGCATGTTTATTTGATTAAGTGTCCATACTCTGGAATGGGAGGGTGATCTGGTTACAGTATCTGTCACACTACTCATCTCCACGGTTGACTCAGCTAAGCTGGCTGGCTAGGTCGGTGTCCCCTTTCAACCTTACCCCTCCACGTGTAGGTCACCCAAACTTTCATGCCTGGTCGAAGAGGACAACCTTCCCCTATAGAGCAGGAACATTCCTTCATCAAGGGTATTTGAGTAGCTGTGCTGTCCTGATAGAACCTCCAAACAAGCTCTCAAGTCTGTATTTTCAGATTCCTCATCCCTAAATGTTCAATTCAATCTATTATCAGTCCAATGGTGGTGTTTATATACATTTACTCGTAATGAATGCCAAACAAGTAATCTTTACTGCAGCTACCATCGTAACACAAGTTAATTTGAGTTTTAGGCCCAAAGGCAAAGTTATATGCCATGTATGAATCTATTCCCAAGAAACAAAAGAGCTGGTATTAATACCAAGCTAAAAATAGGGGATGGGGTGAACTACACACACACGCACAACCAAACTGCAAATGCCAAGTTATTAACAAGAAACTTGATTGTAGAAGATCTCTGAAGATCTACAACATCTAAAGACAGCATGCTGGTTCAAATTGTAATTTATCATTTATTCCATAAAAATGAGTATTTTATGTAGTTCTCAGCCCTCACCAGAGAAGTTCCTGCGTGTAGTGGATGATGGGAAATGCGAAAACTCACAACTGGTCAAAATGCAAAGAATAAGTAAGTATCAGGGGACTGCTCAACCACAGATGGAACATTGGTATCACACCCGTCAAAACTCAGGGACCTCTCTCAAAGGATACAGCAGGAAGATCGTAAAAGCTAGAGGTCAGGGATGGCTCACACGAAATGTCTTCTGGGCATGAGAAGACCACTGAACTCATGAACTCATAGCGGCTGTGGTTGCCTGCACAAGATCAAACCAGCCAACATTCCTGCACGGAGGGAGGGGCTTTGCGAATTCCCAGGCCTAGTTAAGGAGCTAGTAAGAGTTGAAGGGTGCTGGGAGAGGGAAGGTCAATTTCCTTTCAGGGTGTGGCTCCTGGTAGCTGACCCATACTCTAGTGCAGTG